TGCATTTAATTCTTGTCTCAATTTAGCTGTAATGTCAATAATTTCTAAATAAATAAATTTGTTAATATACCGTATGTTAAAATTAAAACATTAGCGTTTAATTAATTTTATCTAACCAAAAAATTCATAATTTATTTTTAGTATAATTTGTTTACAGTTTGAAACTCCTATTAATTTATAATTCGTATCTTTATAAATTTGTTTATCGGTTATTAAAACAATGTTTTTGAGTTCTTCGAAGCTTATTGAATTATCAAACTTAAGTTTAAGTTCATCTTGTTCTTCTGTGATGGTCCATCCGACAATTGATTTATCTTCTTCACTCCAGGTTACAATATATTGCATGTTTGGTGAAAAAACATATTCACTTATCTTTTTTCCTCCGTGCGGCAGATTACTGTTTTGATTTTCTCTGTGTGAAGCATCTTCATCTACATCAATTCGCAATTCTACAGATCCTGATGAACTCATTTTAAACGCATAAGAACAATAAATTAAATGAATGATAATTCTATACTTTCTTATTGTGGTTTGAACTTATCTATAAAATCGACACTTATTCAATATTTACCAGCCTTTGAAAACAATAATGCATGTTGGCTTAATAAATATATTGCTATGATACACTGCCTTCACAACAATTTAACAATGGCTAAGCTTGCATATTTACATATCATGTTTACTGAATTATTTAGTGTAGTAATTCTTTTATATTACGAACGTAATTATTGTCCTTTTTTTTTTTATATATATAAATCTTTATAATCTTGCGATAAATGTTGAATAGTAAGTGTATACTTCATAATTGCTAAAAGGTGTTTATTACGTTCTTTCCTTCATTGCTCCTTACTACTTATCGCATAACACTTAGAGTTGCATATATAGACTTTTATTTCCAATATGCAGGATTACAGCCTCATCCAAATGCACCAATGGCTCATGTTACAAATAATTAGTCAACACGACACACAAATGAACAAACAAATAAAAATAAATAGTTATTACATTAATGGTGTCGTTAAAGTTTAAAAATCGGCTATAAAAAATTGTGACTATGAAACAAATTTTCATAGTCTAGTTAAAAATGTCCAAAATACTACTTTCCTAAAAAGATTTTATTTTCTGCTTAAAAAAAGAGCCGAATTGGTTTTTATAATTAAATCTGAAAATTTATAAGTATTATTAAATTTTATTTTTTTTCATTTAATTTAGAAATTACAGCTCTGTGCTTAGATTTCAATAAATGATTAGAATAACAGGAATGTAATGACAAGATTATTGATAACATAATGGCTTTACTTAATTAAAATTAAAAATTTTTAAAATATTTTAAATTTACTCTTTTAATAAAATTGAACTCAATAAAACTCTATACAGTACATACAGTAAGACAAGGTTGAAAATAATTGTAAATGTATATAACCTACTTTATTAGTTTTAGGTTCTCAACAATTTTTTCATGGTCTAAACCTCGCTTTTCTTAAATCAACATCTACACTTCCTTTGACGAACCAAGCATAGATATCAAGTCCGTTACGTGCGGATTTTAAATTATTTACCGATACATATGATTTAATATGCCGTATCTGGACTTTTTACTAAAATAGAATTGAATATTGTGCTAAGGAGGTCATTTTATTTTGCAAAATATGATTATTAAATTTTATATATGACAAAAAAAAGGTATCACTTCTATATTATGAAAGTGTTTTTAATAATAAATTCCTTTCTACAATTTATAAAAACAACATCTATTTATAATACGCAACCTATTTCAAAGCACTGTTTATCTTGTCAGTAAATAAAGCCTTCTAATTTAAGTGAATGTAATAGTATGTTTAATTTGTTTAAATGAAAAAGATATGAGTATGAACGCTTAAAAGTATAACATTATAAAAATTCATTAATGTCAAGATAACGGTATGTAAACGAACTCGGAATTGAGATGTAATGGCTGTTGCATTTGAAACTGTGAATTTCCGTCATAAAAAAAGTTGTCAAGATCTAAGATTATTCATATATATGCTTTAGAATAAGATAGAGAGAAAAGAAAGTACCTATACAATCTCTTCATATAAAAATGCTTCAAAGCATTGAATTAAATGTACAAATAGAAAAATGGTGATAAAATTTAAATTTAGAAACGATTTCAAAATGTTTTCACTAAGATTTATTAGTCTTTGACAATTAGTGACTATCAATTCATCTGTCTGATAAAAAATTCAATAGAGATAAAAACATTCATAAATCTTGTAAAAGACCAATAAATAGGATAACGTATTTATACTTAACAAAACTTCGTTTTTTTTTTTAATTTAATTCCATTTAAATATGTCAAATCATTTGAAAAAGTTATATGGTCAATTTTTTGACCTTTAATATAGTTGGAATTCAATTAGCAAACAATAAAACCGAAATTTATGATTTCTTATACTGTATTTGTTATTATTTGATTCGCTATATTGGATTCATGTTACTCGATTTATTTAATGAGCACTTATCAAAGTGAATAGAGCAATAATAATTTTATTTAACAAAGTTGATTTGATCAATTTTGTTTAGTCAAAATGTTCGTTAATTCAAATACAGTATGTATAAAATATAGCTGTTGTGTCGCTTTGTAAAGTTTGTTAATAAATAATCCTATATTCATTATTACTGTATAGTATTAAAAATTTTTTAATTTGATCTAATTGGTCAATTATCATGCCTGGATCGACAAAACTATTCATGGATTTACCTAATTTCTGACATTACCAAAACTCTAATGCTGGCCATGCTGTAGTTATAAGGTTAATGCTGTGAGATAAGAGACCTCGATTATGCATGCGAAACGTATTACAAAATTAATTTCTATATTTTGCAAATCTGCATGATATATAAATACGTACGTACGCTCGCACGTACAGTACATACGTATCTGATAACAATAACTGATAAGTACGTACTAAATACCGATACGTAAAAACCACATACTGCTATCATTTTAGTCAAACATGGCATCAAAGATATTTATGGGCGATATGCCTGAACTAATGGAAAATATATTCAAAAATTTAAAAGAAGATCCCAAATCACTATTCTCAAGTATTTTAGTGAACCGAAATTGGTGTAAAATGACGATTCCTATTCTTTGGCGAGATCCATTTTCATATGATAATATACCAATGTTTATATCAAGATACTTTTCATCATTTAATAAAGAAGAAAAACTTAATTTAAAAGAAAGTGGAATAATTATAGAATATCCCAAGACATTATTTAATTATGCAAAATTTTTGAAAGTTCTCGATATAAAAAGTTTAGAAAGTAAGGCTAATCAATGGATCAATTTTTGTTGTATAAACTCACGAAAACTTAATAGTAATATGAAGGATAATATAGCAAATATGTTAATAAAATTATTTATCGAGAATAGAGCTACTTTACACAAATTTAATTTTTATATTTCGGAATTTATTATCAAGCCTGACGTTTTTTATTCATTGGGAAAAGATGATCAATTTTTTACTAGACTTGAAGAGTTATCTGTGGATGCTGTATCAGATTTTGGTGGTATGGATGAAGCAATTATGATATTAAGAATCTTGGCGAAATATACAACAAAAATTAGTACGTTAAAATTTAACGCACATGATTATGAACCACAAATATATCATGCACTAGCAAACATCGTTAAATCACAAGAACAACTTAGACGATTTAACTTAAAATGTGAAGCAAAATCACAAACAGGAGTACAAGGAATTATTTCAGCTTTAGAAAAGCAATGTAAATCTTTACAAGAAATTGGAATAGAAAAGTGTGCTTATTGTACAGAATTCGAGATGTTAATGAATTGTGAAAATTTAAAAGTTCTTCGTATCTTAGATTGCGAACAACAACAAAAAGTATTAAAAGTATTAGAGACTGGAGATTTTAGACTCAACACTTTAGAGATTAGTCCATGTCCAATTGATGAATCATGTATAATACAAATTCTTGAAAGATCAGGAAAAACTTTACAACGATTAAAACTTGATTCAATTGATCAAGAATTTTTTTCGCAACAATTATTATTAGAAGCACTTATAAATTTTTGTCCAAACATTATATATCTTTACATCTCATATATCAAGCTTTGCGATCAACTTTTTAAGCTTATGAATAATCTGAAAAAACTTCAATTTCTCACGTTAATGTGGACTGATGATAGACCGGAAGAAGTAGTGAAAACACAAGTTATTCAACTGGCTAAAGCGTTACCATTAAACTTACAATACCTTGATTTGGGGAATTTTTGGATAAATTCGTATATTGATATTTTTCTCGAGACCTGTAATATTTCATTAAAAAAACTATTATTTAGTATTAATTATGATCAAAATTATGAGAAAACAATCGAAGCATTAATTAAATTTTGGTCACGAAAAAAGGTATTAGAAGCAGTGAATGCTTCCTTATATGAAAATGCATCGATGTGCGAAAACGGATCTGCGTGTATTATTGGTAGGTATGGAAAGATTAATGGATCTATTATTAATTGGGATAAACTAGAAAAAGATCTAGAAGGATATGTTAAATTAGTACCTTATGAAACCATTGTTGCTAATTGCTAATTAATACGAGAAGGATGTTTGTTTTTTCTTATTTTGATGTTTAATTTATATAGTTACTTTTAGATGAGTTTGCTAGTGAAGTATTAATATTAGAAAATTATTATGACATGCTAATAAATAAAGTTTTGATAAAAATGACGTCAGTATTTTTATAAGATCAATAATAGCAGTTAAATAAAACCTTTTACCTATTATAATCTTATAAATTACATTATAATTCATATTTCTATTAATTGAATGTTAAGACTATTTTGTAGATAATCGAGACTCAAAAATCAATCATCATAAATACATTTCTTTATTATGAAATTACGTATGTGCTTTAATATGGAACATTTCCTTTATTTATAGATAGTATTTATCGAAAATTTTACAAAGAACAAAATATAACAGAGTCTAAATCTATTCACCTAATTCCTTTAACAATCTTTTCGCATCATTTTGCATACTATTCTGATTATGTGCTGCCAACCTCAAATATATTAATCCAGTTTCTTTATTTTTTGTCACCCTAAGTTTTCCTTTTACATATATATCTCCTAAATAATACATTGCTTCGTAATTGCCATAATTAGCTGATAGAGTGAAATAATGTAGAATTTTAGCAATATTATCTTTTTTAGTAGCTTCATCATCGTCTTTTCTAAGATTAGAAAGCAATAAAACTGCATATCGACACCGTGCATCAAGATAATCGATCTCAGCGGCTTCATCAAAAAGTTCCATAGCTTGCTTCTGATCTACTTCAACAACACCATACCCATTAGATAAATAATATCCTTTCCAATATTTCGCTTCTTTATTTCCAAGTTTAGCATTTTCTTCAAAACATTGCCATGCCTTTTTATAATCTTTACGTTTATGAAATTCGGTTCCTTTTTCAAGAGGCATCACCAGGTCAATTGATTCCTCTCCTCCCTCAAACTTTAAAGTTTTATTACTTAATAGTGGTGGTTCTCCTGGTGGAATTGGATAGGTTACAGCTAGTTCTTCAAGTTTAATATTTAACATATCAATTTTTATTCGATGATTTGGTATATGATTCCATGCTATTAATTGATTAAATATCATGAAATCAATTAAAATTAATCCAGTAATCATAAAAAAAAAAAAATAATTATATGAGAAAAAAAAAATTACCTCCAGTAATTATTTTAATAAATTCTGATTGAATCTTTGCATCTTGAGGGTTGTCAAATTTTCCACGTAAAAGGCTTTCTCGTTTACCTTCCAAAACATGTTTTGATATGTTAGTGATATTCCAATTAAGATAAGGCAATTTTTCATAACAAAGTTCCCAAATAAGCATTCCAAAACTAATTACGAAAAATAATGATCGATTAAAATAAAAAAAATATAAAGTGAATTGTAAATAGAAATAAAGTGAATTGTAAATAGAAATAAAGTGAATTGTAAATAGAAATAAAGTGAATTGTAAATAGAAATAAAGTGAATTGTAAATAAAAATTAAGCAAAAATATCAGTACCTAAACATTTCACAATGATATGTATAACCCTTTTTAGCATGATGTACGTATTTTTCAATCTGTTCAGGTGCCATCCAACGAATAATATCTGGTGCAATATCTTTAAGATCTCTAGTTTCTTTAGATGCTTCACGAGCACATCTAAAATTTCCCAATTTGGCATCAAAATTATGTAATATCTATAATTAATTATGTTAATAATTTGTTGTTATTTGATATTAAAATTATTAATTTTGATTTATTCTTACTTACAAGAACATTTTCACATCTAACGTCGTGATGAAATATATCTACCCTACGTAAAAATGTAAGACCAC